TTTTAAGGAATGGTATGCCAGTTTTGCTTGTGTGCATGTAAATATTTTTATCTTAGTTAACTCCATCCAATGGATTGTCAAGAAGCTTGAGATTCAAAAAGAATCTTTCAAAGACCTTCTGCTCTTGGTTATGGTTGTTTGTGCTTAATGCCACATCACATCACATTCCCAGGCAAGATTAGTCAAGTAGAGAAACAAATCCACAAAAATAACTTAGAGATCAAACTGAATTCAACTTAGCATGGCCTGAGCATACACTAGGTGTGAGACACGGGGCTACATTTTTGAGAAATAAAGATAAATTAGATCTAGCTAGTTTATAGTCCAGAAGGAGAGGGAGTCAAATAGATTAATACTACTACTTCCATAGCGATACTGCTTCGGAAACCCAAGGATGGGTCGCTATGAGTCGGGTCCGACTCCACAGCACATAACACCACCACCACCACCACCCTCCTTGTTATTAGCTTCCAGTGAGTCCAGTCTGACTCACGCAGACCCCTGTGTGCAGAGTAGACTACTCCATAGGGATTTTAAGGTTGTGATTTTCCAGAAGCTGATCCCCAGGTCTGTCTTCTGTGGTGCCTCTGGGTGGATCTGAACCACCAACTTTTGGTAAGTAGTTCAGTCCTTAACCATCTGAACCACCCTGTGACTCCTTTTCCTCCCACTAATAATAAACCATGGAGCTCTGGTAGCGCAGTGCCTAAGGCATTTGACTGCTAACCAGAACCACCAGCCACTCCTCAGAAGGAAGATGGGGCAATCTACTTCTGTAGTGATACTGTCTCAGAAACCCAAGGAGGGGTCACTATGAGTTGGGTCTGACTCTACGGCAATCAACAACACAGTAATAACCATAAAAGAATGTAATGAGAAAAGTTCCTTAGGTATTTTTATGGGAATCGAGATATCTAGATAAAAATAGCAATGATGTTAATTAGGGAGAGGGAGGGTAAGAGGCCATGAGAAGACAGAACTGTTGTTGTTAGCTGCCATCAAGTTAGCCCCTGACTTATGGGAACTCCAAACACAATGGGATCTGACTGTTGTGACCCATGGGGTTTTTCATTGGCTGATTTTTGGAAGTAGATCGTCAGGCCTTTTTTCCTAGTCTATCTCAATCTTGGAAGCTCTGCAGAAACCTGGCCAGCATCACAGCAACACACCAGCCTCTACTGACAGACGAGTGGAGGCTGCACTTGAGGTGCACTGACTGTGAAGTGAAGCTGGGTGGTATCCCACTGAACTACCACTGTACTCTTAGGAGAGAACAGAAGACACTAATATTGCCACCAGAAGCTATGTTGCAGATCAATAGCATTCCTATGAAAAGATTTTACCTACCTCCCTTGCTGAGGGACATACACACATGTGTTTAGTAGTGCCTATACTTCCAACACTGAATGGGATAGGGAAGGAAGAAAGGAGGTGGTCATGAAAGCTAGAGAAAGAAGTTATATTTAAATAGTGTCTTAAAAGTTGAACAGTTCAACAGTGCTGGGGAGGGCAGAATTAGTAAGGAGGGAAAGGAAGTCATTACAGGAAGAGAAAAGCAGGAACAAAGGGGTGGAAATTATTGGCACGTTAGGGAACTAGCAGTATGATGACGTTAGAGCAGAGTGTGTGGGAGGGGCTAGCTAACTGGAAATGCAGGCTGGGACCAGAAGAACCTTCCAGCCAGACCTGGATCTCTCTTCTGTGGCCAGTGCAAGCCATGGCACATTTTAAGTGAGTCAGTTCTATCTTTCAAGGTTGTAAATCTCATCCTCTGTGGATGATGGGATGCAATGCTTATTGACCTGGTAGTTTCTTGAATTAACTGGATTGGGAGAAGTCGGATAGAAGCAGGTAAATTAAGGATCCACTGTAACAGCCCAGGAGAGGTCTAAAGACAGTAGTAGTAGAAAAACAGATGATGGAACCCATATAAGAAAATTTCAGACATTTTGTAAATCATTATTTTCAAAAAGGTGAAGAAAGAAACAGAAGAGACACCAAATCACCCTATGCATTCTATTACTAAGTATGAAAGAGTATGTCCCTATTTCTTTGTATCTATCTATATGATAGAAATGTAAAGATAAGCTATAACCACATAAAATAACTTTGGAGGGATACGAGAGAAAAAGATATCATTGGTTGTAGGGCATGGTGAGGAAAAAGAGGAAAGAGGTGGAAGGGAAACTTATTCTTGGTACCTCTGCCATGTTGAACCACATTAATGTGTTATCAGTTAGCCAGTCAAAAAAAAAAAAAAAAAACTAAAACATTTAACTTCCCCCTTACTGCTAGACACCTAAGCAGAGAGAGTGAAAAAAGAAAAGATTGCAGAGATGGAGTTTGGTTTCAGTTCTGGCTCTGACACTTTCTAATGGGGCTGTTGACTAACTTAATTTCTATGCTCTTATCTGTAGAATTGGAGATAAATTTGGTGAGTCTGGGTTGTTATAATGATGATTAAAATAGTTCTATGCAAAGCATGTAGTAAAATACCTGACAAAGACTAAATACTGAACATGTAGTAGCTATTTTTTGTTATCAATAAAACTTCTTTGATGTGAATACACTCCAAGTAAAAGAAAAGTCTCTTGGACTAATCAAATGTACACTCATTAGCTAACTTTATTCTTACATTTAATATTTACATTGTACAAAATGATTACTGTAATCCATCTGATGAGCACTATCTATTACATATCTGTTTCTAGAAATTTAAACTGAACATATGATGCATCTGCATTTGTAGGTAGGTGTTACTCTGTCTTTAAACGGCATAGAATCTACATTTACTGAGGTCATGTGTCCATAGAGAACTAAATTGCAGCTAGGTACCAGGAGGCACCAAGAAAATAGATAACAACTTGCTATCCTCCATGAACTGGCAATCCCCCTTAAGACTCACAGGTGTGACCTTCAAGTAATCAAAGCCAAAATTTGGCACACGAGATAGAAATACTGGCAATGAAGTATCTAATCTGTTTATGTATCTGTTAGTAAGGGTCAAGTCATGGGTTGGGCGAGGTTATTCCTCAAGCATTTACTTAGGTTTTTGGCTTTGCCCTACATGGCACTATGCTAGTTAACTGTCAATTGTTAACTAGTCAACGTTAACTGTGGCAATAACAGCATTTTAAGTGTTACAAAATATCACTCTCCAATGTCTTACTACTTCTTGTTGTTTAAACAGTCACATCATTATTAAAGCATAGTCAAACAAAAGTTTCTTTGTTATACATCACAATGAATAATTTCAGGCCATTTTCATGTGAGATATCCCCGTTCAGATCTGCTCCACCCTCTAAACATGAGGCCTTAGGAAAGAAAACAGCTGGAGTTTAGTAAAGATTTTTATTAAAGGCAGGAAATAAAGATGGGCATCTTCCTGGATTTTCAGGGTGTTAGTAAATGCTTTGAGCAAAACGAAGGCATAAGGCCAGAGGAACACGCACCTCACTTCACACATGGCACCATGGGGAGAAAGAGTGTGCTGAGGGTGCTGCACAAAAACTCATCAACATAATTATTCAAATATTTCTCATTGAAGCAGACAGGTCTTGAGAGAAACATCTAGTATGTAGAGAAACAACACTAAAACAAAAATACTAATTTGTAACAAAGCTTTCATTATTGCCGTAGATATGCAACGGATACATGCTCTGGAGGAATGACTGACTTCATCCTGTAGCAAACATTCTCGTTTCTGAGCCACAGGAGGGCACATATTTGTATTTACCCCCTATCTACCTATGGTTGAAGCTGAGGCTACATATCACACTTGAATGAAGGTTGGATTAAAGGTTAATCTGAGGCTATATATAGACAGTAACACTAGTTTGATCCTCGCCTTCTTTTCTCCCTCCCCCCATTTCCATGAATCCCAAAATCTGAGTTACAAAGAGGCTGGGAACTCCAGGCAAAGCGAAGAGGCCCTCCTTCCACCTCCCTAAGGCCGTCCTCATAAACGATGTATCAGTGCAAGCGTAAATTGCCTCCAAACAACCTTAACAGGCACTATAGAGTGATCAGATCTGGTTTTCTTCCACAACTTCCAGAGAAGCCAGAAAGGAGATGACAAGTAGTGGGGAGGGCGAGTCGTGCCAAAAGATAAGTACATTCTCCCAAGTCTATCCCCAAGCGCTCACCTCGCTCCCAACACGGAGCTCTCCTCCTTACCCCTAGCCGTGAGCCCCAGCCCCACGCTCCCTGGGAGCAGCATCTGTCGGTGTCATGCACAAGACGATGAACCCCCGCCAATTCCCACCGCATGGCCAGCCCCCACCAGCTTGCGGTCCCAGGGTCTACCGAGGTGGCCAAACGTGGCGAGTGACAGGTCTCCTCCTGGGGTACTGATAAGCAGTATATGTGGTGGTGATGTGGTATGTGGTAAGTTTCCCCAAGAAGAGGCGTAGGAGGCGCCCCAGCAGGCACATGCCTACTCCCCGCCACCTCCGGCCCAGGTGGAAGCCCCCTGAGGGGCGGTGGCTGCGGCTCTAGCAGCCTTCCTCGCGCCCCTTGCCCCACCTGAGCCGCTCGTACCTGTCCGAGAAGGTAGCGGCGACGCGCGAGGCTGGGGGCTGCGACGATTCCGGCAGCAGAGGCGGCAGTAGTGGCGTCGGTAGACAATGGAGGAGTGAAGGACAGACACATTGACACAGACACACTGAGCCCAGCGCAGCCCCGCCTCCCGCGCGGCCCCGGCATCCCAGCCCGCCTCCAGCCCGGGATGCGTCACTCCCGGGGACCCGCGGGGGGTGTTGCAAATGCCGGGGACCTCTGTCCGACACAAGAAGCAATCGCTGAACAAAGAACTACTAGAGAGAGAACTTTAAATATTTCATTGCGGCAAATATCTAAAATGGTTAGGATGCCCGAGGAGAACGTGCAGGGGGAATTTAAGTCCCTCCCCCTCCGATTTTCTTATTTGGTTTTTCCTGCCAGGGATGGTCCAATGGGAGCCTATCTCTGCCACCTCTTGCAGCTCCTCCTCCCGGTCCCGCCAATGACGCTCAGGGGGCGGTGATTGCAGCTGAGGCTGAAAAGAACGCCTTCTCAGCTCGCTGGAGCTCGCTCGCTGCACCTCCGCCTACGGTAGGGAGGCGAGAATTCCAGTGTTTCCGAGGTCGCATACTCTATCCTGGTCTCAAGTTGCCCCTTTTCTGCTGACGTTCCTAACAGACCCATCATTTCTTTCTACTGCGCACAAAGAAAGAGAATTAACTTTCAAGCTGGCCGAAGCAATGGTTCATATAAAGAAAGGCGAGCTGACCCAGGAGGAGAAGGAGTTGCTCGAAATCATCGGGAAAGGTATGGGTGCTAAACTACGAAGAGGGCGCTGCCAGGCTGGCCCAGGGGCGTAACGGTGCCCAGGAGGCGCCGTTGGCCCAGTAGACCCTTGAGTGCTCTGCAAGATTGGCAGCTTCGTCCTGGGAAATAGCATTTCGTCTATCGGTCTGGGACGGGATGCAGCGGAGGAGAGGTGGAGAGGGAGAAGCACTGATGGGGTGCAAGTGGGAGTTCCCGAGGCTCATACTCTAAAATCACCTTTTGAAAGCTTGCATATTTCCTGGCTCCACGTCAGATCTAATGAACGTACCCGGAGTGTGAGCCCCAATGTGTGCATTTTTCAAAACTCCTCAAGTGATTTGGACCACGATCCTTCTTGGCAACAAAAGCTTCGTGGTTTCAGATTCTTAGGCAGTGTCAAAGGGACCATTTAGACTTCCGGAGTCCGAAAGATCTAAACCCTTGCGGATCTCCATTGCCGCTGGGGGGTGGGGCTGGAGGGAGCTCGTCCAGAGAAGGTTTCTTTATAAGGCACAGTACAAGGCCTGTAATTTGCCGTGTTGAGGCTTCCGCTTCTAGGGCCTCCCTGGCTCCCTTCCAGAAGACCCTGGCCTCCGCAGAAACCCGAAGAGAAGCGAGAAGGGCTGTTAGGCCTACACATTCCTCCACCCCCGTAGCACCATTATGATCTTCTAATTGAGCTCGTCTGAGCTTTCCCTTACACTGTCCCAATACATGTCCCGCTCTCGCCTCTTCAGCTCCTGGATAGGGAGTCGCAAGCCCTGGGGACGAGTGGACCCAGACTAGCCTGCTTATCAGGAGCCGGAAGCCATGTTTTACCCTCAGTCACCAAGTGGACATCCTAGAGGAGTTCCCTGGAGTCCTGTTACCTGACAGGTGACATCAGCGTGGCTACGTGGCTGCTTCTGCGTCGTCATAGTTCTAGGATGGGGGTTTGTGAGACAGCGGGCATGGTTAATTAGTTTTTAAGCTGAAGGAGAAGATGTGGCTAGCTCTGTCCTGCAAGGGCAGAGAAGCCAGTCACTGCATAAGGCTTCTCCAGTTCCTAGGCTTTACTGTTATTATTATGTTACCACGCAGGCAGACTCAAATATGGACCCCCCCCCCCCCAGAAAATAAGGCAGATTAATTCTTCATACCAAGAAATCATAAATATAAAGGAAAAAAAAATTAGATTTGTACTCAACAGGTGTGGAGCTGAGCCCACCCCATCTGATCTCAGTTCTGGCTCAGCTGTAGTTAAGATGACAAGCATTCTTTGCCTAGAATTTTGGGCTTTTTGAGCTGGTGTTTTTACTATACTGAATGATTCCCATAGACCCATTTGGCTTTTCAGACTTTCTTTTCTGACTGTCTCTGGGTGATTTTTCACTGCTTTTGTTGGCAGGGGAATTCAGTTCAGCAAACATGTGAGTCCCAGCTGTGTCCCAGGTATGATGCTGGGCAACAGGAAACAAAGGATAGGCTCTCAATCCAGGGATGCAAAGTTTTTAAACAAGTCACAGGGCTCTCTCACATGTCCTCTGAAATGTGTAAACAAGTGAACAGCCCTATAATTTGGTCTCTGAAGGGGCTGAGGAGGATCTTTGGATATATTCTTAGCTCTCCACCAGGTTTTTTTTTTTTTTTTTTAATTTTGAATATTGTATGAAATAAAATAAATATGAGTTTATTTTGGGGATATTCCTAGGCGCATACCTGCTCTGTCAGGTGGGTACATGAGTCTACAGACTCGGCTTCATCACTTTACTGGCCCAGGCTGATAATGAGAAAAGAACTTGAAGTGATGCATTCTAGTCAAGTGAAGGCCCATGTGACATCATGTGGGAAATAGGGGAAAGTAATAACTGTAGCTATCATTTATTGAAGTTATTTTGAGCCAGACATAATTCTAAGCAATTGACATGCATTAATGCATTCATCTTGATGAGCTAGGACTTAGTTTTAAGCTGTAATATTAAGAGAGAACCATGGGGTGGTGGTTAACTATAAAGGTTGCCTTGGAATTCTGCCTTCGTCATTTACTAGTGATGTGGCCTTGAGTCGGTTATTATTTTTGATGTTCTCCAACTGAAAAATGGAAATAATGATAATACCCATTTAATAACATTATTATGAGGATGAAATGAAGTAGCATTGATAAAGAAAACATTGTTTTTGTTGGCTATTATTATCTGTACTTTGTAGATAAGGAAACTGAGGGATTGAGAAATTAGGTAACTTACTGAATGTTACCAGGTAATAAGTGGCAAAGCAGAAGTATCACATGAACCATGTTGTTGTTGTTATGTGCCGTAGAGTTGGACCTGACTTATAGCGACCCCTCCTTGGGTTTCCGAGGCGGTATCACTATGGAAGTAGATTGCCCAACCTTCCTTCCAAGGTGTGGCTGGTGGGTTTGAACCACCAACCTTCTGGTTAGCAGTCAAGTGCTTTAGGCACAGGCATATAAATATGTGAGACTTTAAAGCAAACAAAACCAGCACCAGAGCAGTAAATGCCATATTCACTTTTAGAGGCATTTTAATTTCAATAGATTGTTACCATCTGCTAGTAGAGTTAATTATAATTTTAATTATTAGTGATATTGTAGGTTTGTGTACATTTGATTTATAAATTGATATTTTGTAGTTAAATAAAGGCTCTAAGCAAAGTAGCAACATTTTGTATTTTTACACACAAGAATTATTTTTACTTAATGGGTAGAGAGGGATCCTGATTTTTTTTCTCCCCTTTGGTACATTTCACAACTTTGAGAAGTGATAAGACTAGTTAGTTCTAGTTCAGTTCTAGTATCATTAGCATTGGAACTAACAGGAAATTTTCAGCAAAATCTGACTTGTCAGCTTAGCCAGTCTGGAATAAACTCGAAACAAATGCACTATTTGAGTGCATCCCCTCTGCCAGGCACTGGGGTCCAGAAATTAGCGGACAGACTGTAAGTGGGGTTTACAGTTCATAGAAGACTGCAGATTATTCCTGAATTATGACAGGTCTGAGTTATGATGAACCACACTTAACAACCAGCCTTATCATTAGTAATAAGTACTGCATTCAGTGTCACTGCCTATCATTTGCAGATGTTCAATTTTGGGAATTACTGTTCAGAACACTGCCATGTTTGTAAAGATACTAATAATCAAAGGCAATAATGATGAAGACTACAAAAAAGAGGTAATCAACTTATGCCAGAACTGATTTACGGTGGAATTATCACAGTGGACTTCAGTTGTAAGTCAGAGATTATCTGTACATCGCTTTTGGACACTTTTACAAAAATTTCTTGTTCTGAGTGAGTTTACATGTCAAGACTTCTACAGATTATTTGTTAGAATGCCAAGAAGTTCCAGATGAAAGCTGTTTCCTCCATGCACATTTAAATCATGGTTAATACAGCATCCATTTCACAACATTTAAGAAGAGAAAATTGAAATCACTGATCCACATCTAACTCGTCTATATTACTTGAAGATTGACCAACTCCTCTAAGCACTGATAGATATATATATTTTAGAAAGCACTAAGGAAACACAATACCAAAATATAGTAAACCTTCTTTAAGAGTACAAACCAGGTTCCAGTAAGATGGTGGAACACGCAGAAAGACTGCATAGACCCTCTTCAACAAAGAAAAGGGGAACCAACTAACATAGACACAGAAGATAATCCTGGACCCCTGAGCCTTGAAGGGAAGGATATGGAAGTGGACTAAACCCCAACTAGCAGAAGAATTTGCATGAAAATACCAAACAAGGAGACATATGGAATTGTGATCTGGCGGTGACCAAACTCGACAGCAGTGAGTTAATTAGTTAGTAACTAATTATGAAGATCTACAACAAATTTGAAAATCTGGAAGAAATGAACAGATTTCTAGAAATACACCACTTAACCTAAACTAACACAGACTGATGTGGAAAAGTTAAACAGATCCATAACAAAAGAAGAAATTGAACAGGTCATTAAAAAATTACCAACAAAAGAAAAGTCCTGGCCCAGACAGTTTCACTGGAGAATTCTACCAAACATTCAGAGAAGAACTGACACCAATCATACTCAAACTATTCCAAAACAGAAAAGGATGGAATCCTCCCTAATTTATTTGGTGAAGCAAGCATAACCTTGATACCAAAACCAGGCAAAACATCACTCAAAAGGAAAACTAGAGATGTATATCCCTCTTGAGTATAGATGCAGAAAACTTCAATAAAATCCTAGCCAATAGACTCCAAAAACATACCAAGAAAATAATTCATTATGACCAAGTGGGGTGCATATCAAGTATGCAAGGATAGTTCAACATTAGAAAAACAATCAATGTCCTCCACCACATAAATAAAACAAAGGAAAAGAACCACATGATCCTATCAGTCAATGCAGAAAAGGCATTTGATAAAATCCAACACCCATTCCTGATCAAACCTCTCAGCAAAATAGGAGTAGAAGGGACATTTCTCAACATAATAAAGGGCATATATGCAAAACCAACAGCCAACATTATTCTCAATGAAGAGAGGCTAAAACCTTGCGAACAGGAACCAGACAAGGATGCCCTCTATCACCACTTCTATTCAGCATTGTATTGGAAGTCCTAGCCAGGGCAATAAGGCAAGAAAGGGAAATCAAAGGCATCTAAATTGGTAAGGAAGAAGTCAAACTATCCCTATTTGCTGATGATATGATCCTATACCTAGAAAACCCAA